CCCCTTTTTCCGTAGATCTGAGCGTCGTTTACTTTGGGGCTTTGCAAGGCAATTGCCGCTGAGTTCGGACATGATTAGGAATTGACGACGCCTTTACGGCCAATGCGGTCACTTAGTAAATACAAACTACGTACTCATCTACATCCTCAGTCTTAATCTGCTGCTGTCTGCGTTTTCGGATGCTGCATATAACCGACACCTTTGACTTACATTGTTCTCGTACTGGCAATCCAATTTTCATACTTGAAACCACTTGGTGGATGTCACTGTGTCCAACACGTTTCTGATTCTGGATGGACGAGAATTTTCTATAAATTAATCTTCGCAATCCGTACCATATTTGGCGTTCGTACCAAAGCCCATACCGTTCGATTTGTGACTTCACCAAAGACGCGCATTACGTCGACGGATGCATATCTGCCTGTCAAATAGCAACTACCCCACGCAGTGTCGTAAGAAGTCATTTCATTCACCGGGAAAACAAACCTCGTACTAAAGTGGCCGACCCCGTGTGAGCACCGCACATCTTTTAAAGTAAGAACTGCAACGCAGATTTACTTGCAAGACGTTGATTTCTTTTAAAAAAATCAGGAAGATGACTGACGTTTACAAGCGAATGCTTGCTGCTCCGTGAATCCTGCTGAGCATTTCAACTGGGCGCTGGGACGACCAGACCCAAGCGGTCAAGTCATTGTCGGGGTTGGCTGAACTATCCGGTGCTGCGAAGGCCTCTACCGTGTTGCCTGGCTCGCCGGATGTGCCTACAAATTTAAAAATATTTTAATGAACGTCGGTTACGAAAAAGAAAATTCCACAACAGAGAAAGAGGGAAACAAAGAGGCATAGGCAGTATTCACAGAAGTGCTGCAGAGTGGCCATTTAGGGAAAAAAAGTCAGATTAACGTCTTTCCCCGTCTTCAGTCCTCTACCTAAGGAAGAGGAATAAGTCAAATGGAATATTGTACATAGAGTTTTTGTCAGCGCTACATAAGTTATTTGATATTCTACGGATTATTCCTTAAAATTCATGCAAAGACAACGTCTTTTACCGGCCGGCTGTGGAGTCATTTTATAGCTGAGGCCAAGATTTTAAAGAACATGCTGTGGTGGGATATGATGAATTTCATGCATTCAAAACTGTTTACTAGACAGAAAAATTCCATATAAAGCTAAATCAACCTGACACCATAATAATACAACCGCCA